TGCCACAGCTGGAGTTTGAAGAGCCTGGAAGCCCAGAGCAGGCCTGGTTCTTACCTCTTCCCCCTACCCACGCCCTTGTGTCCTGCCCCCTGAGTTTGGACTTCAGTCACTCGTGGGATTGCCCAGTAGGAAGAACCCTGGAGCTAGAGTTGAGAAACCAGACTTCAAGTTTCTCCCTCTTCCCCTCTTTTATGTGACTGTAGACAAGCCCTCCCCCCTTTTCTAGGCCTCAGTTTCCTCATCTATAAAATGATGTACTAGGGCTAAGCTGAAGGCTGTCTGCATCTTGAAATTACCTGAGGTGTTTGAGAAAGTACAGATGTGTGGGTCCACCCACAAGGATTCTGACTCAGTTGGTCTGGAGTGTGCTGTGGATCAAGCAGGAGCATTTTTATTTATTTATTTATTTGTTTAATCCTCACTCGACACTTTTGCATTTATCTTCAGATAGAGCGGGAAAGAGACAGGGAGGAAGAGAGAGAGAGCAACATCAATGTGAGAGAGACACATTCAGTGGCTGCCACCCACACGACCCCAACCGGGGCCAGGGACAAACTGCAACCAAGGTACATGCCCTTAGTGGGAACCGAACCCCGGACTCCCCGGTCCACGGGCCGACACTCTAACCACTGAGCCAAACCGGCCAGGGCGAGCAGGAGCATTTTTAAAAGACTTCTCTGAGTGATTCTAATATGCAGCCAGAGTCAAAAATCTAGAGCAAAATATCTCCAACCCTCTGGCCCTGAGTCTTGGCTCAGTGGGTCTCTTAACTGAGGATTGTCTGGCTCTAAGACATTTCCTCTTCCTGCATGCCCCAGCTCTCGCACGCACCACAGCTCTCCTGACCCTGGCTCTTCCCCGTCTTTGTGGATGAGTGCCCAGGGCCCCTGTGCCTGTGCAAACAAGCTGGCCCCATCTGGCATAGTCCTAACACTGATGAAACATGGCAAGCTACTTAGGCCCGTCTAGAGAAGAGGGCTGCGGAGACTAAGGTGGGCTTGCTGCCCAGGTGGTACCACTGAGAGTCAGACTTTTCACCTGAGAAGGATCCCAGGGCACCCCTGAAGCAGGTGGGCCAACAATAGCCTCAGCTGGCTCTCTGTGGGACCAAGGAATTGGATTACCTCTCCACCCTTGTTGCTCTTCTTCCTCCATTCCCCTCATCAGCTCCTTGCCTGTTCCTGTCTTGCCACCCACAAGCCTGGTGTCCTCCTCAGGCAATCTGCTCACCCACTTGTTGCCATGGTGACTCTGGCTGGGGGTGTGGGGCTTGAGAGAGGGTCGTCTAATTAAGGAGAAAGGCTATACTCCCACGGTCAAGCCACCCCTCTCCTCCTCCTGCCTTCCTCTGTTCCTCCCTGGACTTGCCCAACCACTACAGCATGTCACTGGGCTAATTGCAACTGGCAGGGAGGAGGGCTGGAACCCCAATGGAGTCTTCTTACCTCGGCACAGAAATTTCGAACAGGAAGAGCTGAGGGAGAATCCCTTAGGGAGTCTCTGAGCTCCTTTGGTGGAAGAGGGAGTGATTCCACAGATTTTGGGGTGAGGTTTGAGGTGGACTCTGGGGTCCAAGCTTTAGAGATTGTGGCAGAGACTGTAGACACAGCCTGATCTTGACACTCTGGGGACCAAAAGATAGCAGGGGTCTCTGAGGTACTTGAGCCCATAGCTCTAGGGGTTTCCTTTTCTTTCTTGCCTTACTTTTATTTCTTTCTCCTACCCTCCTTCTGCTGTCATATCTCTCTTTCTTACTCCTGCTTTCTTCCCCTGGTCACTCTTACCCTCATCTTTCTTTCTCCTTTCTTGGCCCTCATCTTCACAGCCCCACTCTTGCCCTTAACCCCTTACTGCCTGCTCTTTCTTACCTTTCTTTCACTCTCAATGCACCTCTGTATTTCCCTTACACCCTCCATCTCTTATTCCCACTCTTTCTCCTTAATCCTGTTTTTCCTACCCCTGTTAACAGCAACATTACTTATCCTGCAACTCCCTACTCTTTCCTATTCTCTTTCTTACATACCTTCTCCCATGTACCCCCTTACCCCACTGCCACTCTCTCCTATCCCTCGACCCCATCTCTGACCTCTCCAGCTCTCTCTTACCCTGCCTCTTACCTTCACGTGTTTTTTCCACCCTCCTCTCACCCCTCTCTCATTCCTTTGTAGATACTTTTTATTCCAATAATTTCACTTTTCGTTTTTATAAATAAAATGTAACACAGGTAAGCAAGAGATGTGTATACAAAGATATTCACTGAAGCATTGTTTATAACGGTGAAAACTTGGCAATAATTTAAATGTCCATCCACAGGAGATTGGTACCATTTCCACTCCATTCATACAAAATCGTTCTCTGTTCTTTTAGCACGCCATGTGTTCACTCACATCCATAGCTTTGTTGAAGCTGTTGCCTCAGCCTGGAATGCCCTTTTGTCTCATCTCTACCCAACCGTCTAAAATCCTACTGTGAGTCCTTGCTCAGCTTTTGTTCCCTTGCTGAAATCTTTTTTTCTTCTCCCTTTTATTTGGTTCTTTTTTCTTTCTTTCGATCTTTTTTCTTTTTTTGTTTTCTTTTCCTTTTTTTTTTTATACTTTTTAAGTTATTAAAATATTTTTTCCTCGCTGAAATCTTTCCCAACTTTTCTATTTGTTTTCCCCTAATGGCCAGTTGTTTAACCTCTCCTATAGTATAGATCATGTGACAGAGATTCAAGTTAAATGTGTCTACCCCATGAAACTAGAATTTCTCTGAGAGTAAGGAACCTGTCCTCATTAAATCATCCTGTTCATTCAATCAACAGACATTTTTTACATATACTGTGCTGAGTACATAATTGTCAATAAGACAAGCCCATGTCTGTTTTCATGCATTTCACATTTTAGTGAGGTTGACAGAGAAGAACAAAATAAGGATGCAGCCAAATTTGTACTTGTGGTGAACAGTTAAGAAAAAAGAAAGAATGATGAGGGGGGGCATCCTCTAGTTAGAGTGGTCAGGGAGACCCCCTCTGAGGAGGTGATATTTGAACTGAGGCCTGAAAGATGAGAAGGACATAGCTATGCCAAAAGCAGGGGGAAGAGCATTCCAGGCCAAGAGAACAGTATGTGCCAAGGCCCCAAGTTGGGAAGAAGTAGGTCATGTTCAAGAAAAGGAAAGAAAACCTCTGCGTGTGGAGCATAATGAGCTTGAAGGGAGAGGCAGAAAAATGAGGCTGGAGAGACAGAGGAGGCCAAGTTTTGCTGGGGCTTGAAGTCTGTGGTCAGAAGTTTGGGTTTTATTCTAAATGCTTTGAAGAGTTGGAAGCAAGAGAGTAACATGATATGATAGCTCATTTGGAGATCGCTCTCACTCCTGTGTGAACAGTGGATCAGAAAGAGCAAGAGTGGAAGTGGGAAGGCTAGATAGGAAACTGTCATCCAGGTGAAAAACAACTGAGAACTTCATTTAAAGATTTAGAGAAGGTTAAATTCCAGATGTCGGTGAGATATCAAAGCCCCAAGCAATGCTTTGTTCTTCATGGGGTTGATTTGCACCACAACCCACTACCACCCATCACTGATGGCTTTGGAAAAGGCCAACGTGAAATTGCATCACCAGAGTTCATGTTCACAGTGGAGCTATTTGTATTTTAGTGTAGACGTTTGAAGTCTATGTGAGAAGCTTTGACCACGTCGTTCAGAGTGTGGTTGAAAGGCCTTCGGCAGCAGAATGACCTGGACCCTTGTCAAAATGCAGATCCCTGAGCCCACCTCAGTCCTTTTGAAGCTGAATTGCAGGGGCCGGCTTCATGCTTACTGTTGTCCCAGGCAGTTGTGAGGCACACTGAAATCTGAGAACCATTGCTGTGACTATGAGAAGCAACCATGAGAAGGTGTCCCTGAGTGATGAACCCTGGGTGTGGGCAGGGCTCTAACCCTAAGCTTGAGTTGCCTGGGGATCCTGTTAAAATGCAGGTGCTGACTTGGGTCTAGTGCAGGACCTGGACTCCTGCAATTCTCATGAGGTTCTATGTGGGTGATAGTATTGCTGCTGGCCTAGGTCTACACTTTCAATAGCAAGGAGGTAGATCAGTGATTGTCAATGGGAGATGATTTTGCCACCCCCCTCCCAGACATTTGACAATGGCTGGAGACATTTTTTTGGTTGTCTCAATTGGAGGAGGGGGGTGCAACTGGCAACTACTAGGTAGAGGCAAGGGATGCTGCTTCAGTCCCTACTACCAAGAATTGTCCAGGCTAAAATGCCACTAGTGTCACTCACTGTTGAGAAACTCTAGGCTATGATAGCCAAAGAGTATAGAGCAGGGAACCTTTCCTATGCTAGGACACAGCACCTGATAGTAATGGGCTAGATAAGGGATAGGAAATATACCCATGAAGTGAAAGTGCAAAGCACAGTTTCCAAATGAAACATGGTGTCTGCCCCACATCAGAGTTGAGCATGGATTAAGTAGAGCCTGAAGGTACACATGGTGCCTCGTAAGGAAGATTCCTGTTTTTATTAAAAATAATCCCTTACATTTGTATTGCACTTTTAAGTTTACAAACATTTTCACATGTCATATTATTTGATCCATACAACACCCTAATGAAATAGAGCAAGGATTATTCTATCTCCTTCTTGAATTTAGAAAGTTAGCATCATCAGGACACCTCTCTGGGCCAACTGTATAATGGTAGGTAGGGTTGGATGGGATGATTGGTAAGACCCCTTCCAGCTCAGACATAGGAATGATTTTGTGATTTTACCAATGAACAAATTCTAAGTCTTGGATGATCATAGACTTGGGGACTCGGGAGTCCTGGCTATGAGATGGGAGATCTTAGGGTAGGGTGTAGTGGTCTTGACCCAAACCCTTCTTCTCCTGCATCCTGGGGTTGAGTCGGTGAGCACACACACACACACACACACAGAGTATAAGTATACCATCCTCATCCCATTTGTCTAAGGTGGGAAGGGGCTGATGCCTGGGCTGATGCTCTTTCCTTTCCCCACAGGCTGTCTACAAGGCCTGGCTGTGCTCAGAATACTTCAGCGTGACCCAGCAGGAATGCCAGCGCTGGGTGCCCTGCAAGCAGTACTGCCTGGAGGTGCAGACCCGGTGCCCCTTTATACTCCCCGACAATGAGGAAATGGTGTACGGAGGGCTCCCTGGCTTTATCTGTACAGGTAAAGGCAGGGCACTGGGGAGGAGGGAGGAGGCCGGGCCCCAGGACAGGCCCCAGGTCTGGGCTGTGGTAGCAGGGAGGACAACAGGGAAGTCAGGTTAGAAGAAGGTTAGTGGCTGGAGGAGCGGGCAGTGAGGTCCCTGGGTTGGGATAAAGGTAAGTGGAATAGGGACAAAGAGCAGAGTGGCCCTCTCTACCCAAAACATGCCCATCTACGGTGTCATCCCAGAGAAACCATCTGGGGTCCCTGGGAGAAAAGAGTCTGGAAAAGGAAGTTGGTAAGAGGCAGGGGGAAAGGAGTCTTGGGCATGGCTACTTGAGCAATTAGTCCCAGCTTTGAAAAGCTCGTCTCTAGGAAGGGCCTAGGCCTCAGCCCCCTGAGCACCCTACCACACCTTCCTTATCCATTGGCAGGGTTGCTGGATACTTCACCAAAGCGGCCGGAGAGCAAGTGCTGTGATGTGCAGTGGGTCTCCTGTGAGTCGGAGAAGAAGAAGTTCAAGGAGTCTGAGGTCCCCAAAACCCACCACCAGCAATTCCACCACTCCTATTTCCACCACTACCACCAACAGCACCGCCACTACCACCCCCGCCATGACCCCCCAGGCCACATCAGCCACAAGCCCTCCCTGCTGCCTGTCTCTGGGGGCTCTCGCCTCAGCCTCAGCCCCAGCAGGATCCGGCTCTATGTCCTTGTTCTCATGCTCCTCCATACCATGGTGTCCTTCTCCAGCAACCAGAGTGGTGGGGGACTGGGGCTGGAGGCACTGCCTGCCCTAGATGAGGGCCTGACTCGGGAAGAGTGACAGCAGGGAGGGAGGACAGACCTCCGCCACACACTAACATCAGCTCCACCTCCCCCAGGGGGAGGGGAAGGGGGCTCCTCCCATGGGAGATATAAGACTGGGGAGGGGGCGGGGGGAAATGGGGGACTACACATAGTCCCCAACCAACCCCCACCCCAAAAGCAGCTCCAACAGAACGGCCAGAGGGCCCCAGGGAGCTGCAAAACTCATCCAGGAGAAAAGACAGGAGCAGCAGGCACCCCCTCCTAGGCCCCCACCTATGGGGCTTAGCAAACAAAAAGGGGGAGAGTGGGGGCTGGCATTGCCCACCCCTGCTGAGAGCCTTGACCCAGGGAAGGAGGCTGCTCACCCAGCCTTGGCCCTGCAGGGAATGTTGGAGGGCCCAGAGGGGAGAAGCTCTTTCCCCCCTCCCCATTCCTTTTGTTGCCAAGATCCTTAATTCCCTTCTGCCCATACCCTACAGGCAACGGCAGATGGTGCAGTGGCCCTCCTCCAGCGCACCTTGGCCCACGTGGGGCCACCACAGGGAAATGCCAGGCTGGCAGATGAGGTGCGCACAGTCACAGCTGCATCGGGACCCCAGTTAAACTGTGCTCCACCACCCTCAGCAATGAGGGGTAGGAACAGGGTGCAGAATTGCAGAATGAGTGGTGAGAGATGGAGATAGGGACGAGGGAGAGGAGAATTGTAAGCAGAGGGCTTGAGAGAGATAGCTAAATGGGTTATTGCTACTAGGCTTTGGGGAAGTGGATAATCAGTGTTGAGGCAGGCTCAAATACAGCTCCCCAAATTAAAAATGTGTTGTATAAGGAGCCCTCTGGGAAAGAGTGCAGGAACTGGGTTGCTGGGCCCCGAAACAGAAGGCTGAGGGCACGTGGTCAGACTGCTGCTGTCTGAAGGGCCATATCTTACAGAAGGTGCACATACTCCCAAGGGCCACTCTTGCCCTGGAGATCTTGGCCTTGGGGCCAAAGACATTTCCATTTCTGATCTCCATGGGGAGGAGGGACTTAAGCCCAAGTGGGTCAGGCCTGGCCTGTGTCCCCATACTCCCCCATCTTGTCCTAGCCCAGGCCTCCATGAAGGAGAACCTGGTGGCATTGCCCCAGGACTTTCCAGAGATGAGCCTCCCTCATCCCCACCCTGTCCCCATCCCCAGCCTACCAAAGAGTATTCATCCCGTCCCATCCCTGATCCCATGGATTACTCTCCCAATAGTGGAACAATCAGACTCCTCCTCACCCTGTAGTGGGTCCCCTAATCCAGCCACCCTTGCCCCTTGCTGGAGAACATCCAGAAACTGGCAAAAAGGTTAGAGGGTTGAGCGAGAGAAGGGGCTTCGAGAGCCCTTTGGGGTTCATTAGCCTTGTGCTGATCTCTTGGGAGTGGGAGGCCACATTGCCTGGGACATCTAAAAGCCAATAGGGAGCCGGAACTGTGTTCTGGGACAGGCCAAAGGGTTTTGGTTCCAGAAGAGCCTGCATCCGAGGATGTGATGCCAGTGAGTTAAGGGGAGGGGTAGGCCTGCAGCCACATTAGGTAAAACCAAGAAGGGGTTCGGGAAGGAACAGCTGAAATTGGTTGGCTGGGGGGAAATGGGAGACTTCCCTTGGAGAGAGGGAATCATTCAGGGGCCTCAGCTGTGTCCCAAATAGACTTCATGAGACTGGGGAGTCTTCCCTGCCAGTTTTCTCATTTCTTGCAGCGTGTCCCCTTTCCCCATCCATGTGCTCTGCCCACACACTCCCCTGTTTGGCCCTCAGCACTTTGGGCCTAGCCACATACCCCATCCCTAGAGTGCTCTTTTCAGCTGGGGAGGGAAAGAGGTGCTGGCTCCTTTCCAGAGATGCTTAGGTAGACATGAGAGACCCTAGGTACTGCCTTCTAACTAACTCCTGCATCCTCAGGAGGGGAAAAGGGGACTGGGAAACAAAGGGGGACCTTAGGGCCCTAGGGAATGGACCCTTGGAGACTCCCATCCTCTCTTCCCCCTCACCAAGTGCCCAGGAGACCCCTGGCTCAGACCAGCCCAGGGCCTTGCCCGGTGGCAGGGGAAAGGGGCACCTCACTCCACCTCAAAGTCATTTGACTGTCCCTATCCACCCTCCACCCAGATCTTACACCACCCCTCCAGCTGCCCTGCCCTCCGCCACAGGCAGCGGAGCTGGGCAGCTTTCTTATGCCATTTTCTACACTGTGCTTCATGAGTAGGACTTTCTTGCACTAGTTTCTATGACTGAGTCTCCAAGCTGGATTCCTAGTAGTCCCCTGTCCCTTCCTCCCTAACCCGGCTGATTCAGTTGTCCCCCTTCCCCTGCCTCCGTGTTTCGGTGAGAGTCTCTGTGTGTGTACTGCTTTCTGTTTTGTTGCATTGTGGGGCAGAGGCCTCTCTGCTCTTGTTTAACCCCATAAAGAAATAAATGGTAAGACTTGATGATAACCCTCCCTTCATGGTTGTGTTCTGTGGAGTCAAGTGCTACCAGAGAAAAAAGTCTATGGCTTGGGGAGGAGGTGGAACCAGAGGATGCTGACGCTGTGCCGGCCTCTTGGTGGCTCAAGTGTCAGGAAGGGAAAAAAGGGAAACTGCAGTAGGCCATTTTCGACATAGAATCACAAACTCAACCTCCTGCAGGGATCAGGCTGATAAGTGTGAAAGAAGTGGCCAGGGCAGGGGTGAAGTGCACACCCCAGCTTTGTGAGTGGTGGAGTACAGGGCACTTGCAGGCTACAGGGGCCGCTCAAGCCCAATATTGTCTTTGGAAATGTGGGCCCAACATGCCAGATCTTATTCTTTAGGGGAAGTCAGGACTCAGGGTATTTTACGTGAAGCCCTCGGATTTCTAAATGTTGGCTGGAGTCACAAACAAATAAACCAACCTCTGTGTGGACTGAACGTGTCCGCAGGCCCCACATAGCCTGGGGTTGAGCAGGTTTGCATGTCTGTTGCAGCTCTTGGTTCTACTCTCCCAAGCTCATCTCCTAGACTGCTTCACCAGGCCCGTCTTCCCACCACAGGAGTGAAAGGCAGTCGGGAAGAACTGCCAGAAGGGCGGCAGGCAGAGCCCTACACAACTGCCATCTCTTCGCATAAAAGGGGAAAGGGAGAGTGTGAGTTAGGAGGGAACCTGGCGTCCTCACTGAACTGCTGAATTCTTTTGTCAAGAAAACACAAGCCCCCCAGTTCCTCCTAAGTCAGCATAGCATAGTGGTTAGGGACTGGAATCCACAACCAGAGTGTATGAGTTCACGGTCGAGTACTACTGTCTCTTACTCATCTGACTTGGCACAAGTTCCTTGACTTCTTTGAGCCTTAATGTTCTCAGCTATCAAAAGGGATATTGTGAGGATTAGATGATATGCACAAAACACTTTGTACAACAGCTGTTGGTTATTCAAATACTGATGGTTGTTGTTATCAGAATAAGACATCTCCTCTTTACTTCACTTCTACCTAACATGATCACCAAGTTCTGCTCTTTCCACCGCTGCAGTATGTGTCAAACTCCTCTTTTCCACCCCCACTGCTACTCGGCCACTTCATGTCCTCAATAGCTCTTGCCTGGACTACTGCAATGGCCTCCCAAGTCTCTCTTGTTCAGTGACTCCAGCTCCAATCCACCTTCCCCTAGCACAGTGTGTTTCTGCTGGTCACTCACTGAATGAGCTCTGCACCTTCTCATCTGCCCTTTGCTCACATTATTTCTACTGTCCGAAATGCCCTCTCTCCATCTCTGCCTATCACTGCCTTACCAGTTTCAAAGTCCAGCGTAAATGCCCCTCTGCTATGAAGACTTCCACATTACCCCTCTCCTGAGCTGAAAACAATCCTGTCCTCATCTATACTTCTGTAACACTTTGTGCCTTAATCATGGCATTTATTACATCCTACCCGTATTCAACTTATTCATTCAAACCATACATATTGAGCAATTACTACATGTGAAGCACTGTGCTGGGTGCTTAGAATACAGCAATGAAAGACAGACATGTTATGGATCCAGAAGGTAACATGGTGTTATACGTTCAGCAACCATAATATGCTTATTGTAACATGTTTTTATCTCACCACATGTCCATGAGGAGAGCTCTCTTGGTCTTGGGCATAGGAAAGACGTAAGAGACTGGAGGAGGCTGCACACCCATAGTGCAAAGGCAGTAAAGGGCACAATAGCTGTGCCAAAGAAGTAGCCCTACCAGTCACACGTTGTCCTTTGACCTGTGCAGCTACCCCTCTGTGCGACCCCTCAGACCCAGGCCCAGGCCCTGGTGTTCTCCCTTCAGTTCAGTCCAGCTGCAGACAGCCTCACTGTCTCCTAGCCTCAGCATTGCAAGGAGGGGTGATGGTGGTGGCTGACAACCCTGCAAGTGCAACAGAGTTACATGGAGAATTGTCACTCTGGCCCCACCAGCCGAGATTCGGATGTAATTAGCCTGGGTTGGAATCCCAGCTTCAGTATTGTTTACCAAACTCCACAGTGATTCTAATGTGCAGCCAGGCTCGCCAATCATGGGATGAAGAGAAGGCTGGAACTACATGAAGTTCTTGTTATTTGAGGATAAGTGGTGCTAGAAAAAGGGCACTTGCCATGAATCCACTTGAAGCGGAGACCGACATTTCACAGCAGAGTAGGATAAAAAAAGTGAAAGGATTTGATTGGGACTTTGCCTTGAGAAATAAAATTGAAAATGTGGGAAATAGTTTTGTTTCAATTTAAAATGTGTAAATAATTGCAAATATGCACTAATTCTTAGAATGAACAAAAAATGAATCAAGCTTGGGGGAATAACATAATTTTCCTGACCAAAGTACATGAGAACATAACATTAGCTTTTGCCACACAATTATAATCATATAATCAGTGTTTTATTACTGCTTCAATTTTATTGCTAGTAATCCATCTGTTTAGATTTTTCTATTTCTTCCTGGTTCCTTGGAAGGCTACGTGCGTGCGTCTACAAGTTTGTTCATTTCTTCTAGATTGTTGAATTTGTTAGCATGTAATTATTTTTAATATTCTTTAATGATTCTTTGTATTTCTTCTATGTCAGTTGTAACTCAGTCATAAACAGCCTTGTTGTGTTTTTCCAAAATTAGAGAGCTTCTTCAATTATCCCAAGGACCTCTTGTTATCTTTTAAGAGTTGAATCATTCTCTTTGAAGCCTTGATCCTGTCATTACCCAGGTCAATTTTCTCTTCTGCCAGTGGTAACTAGTCTATCTCTGCCAAATCCCTACTTATCAAGGACTTTACATGACATTAGAGAGGTCTTCAACATCACTATTTTTGTTTTGGAGAATATAAGATTGTTTCCCCATCACTATTTATCCCCCCATACCCTCTTCCAAAACATCACTTTCATTGACTTCATGAAACGGTAAATTTTTTACAAGACCTGTAATTTCATTCTGAAATTTATTGCATTGCACAGTGCTAACAATTAACAAGAGGCTGAAAAAAACCTTAGACAATGGGTAGAGACAAACAGTATTAGGGTGTAATATGAAGAGAGGTACTTATGGAGGACTCAAAATAGGGACTCTTTTGTGCTGTGACAACTTCGCCTTTCATAACGTCCCTTTTCCTTTTTGGGTTTTTTAAAAATAAGCTTATCTCTAAAATGAAGTGATAGGATTAGATGTTGTTATAAAGATTAAATAAATTAAATGAAATAACATGTGAAAGTGTTAAGCACAGTTCCTAGCACAGAGGAGAAACTCAATTCCTGCTTTGCCCTCTCTCCCCAAACATTTTTAGATTCTTTTAGAAGACACTGAGGACAAAGAAGGGGAAAGGGGAGGAGTGCATCAGAGCAACTAGAAAGAAGACCCAGAACTTCTGCCCCTGGCTGAAGTTTCTGTTTTATTGCCATTTCCTTTTGTCACGTTCTCTGTGGAGATGCACTATACACTGAGCACCTATCAGACTAACTGCATAAGGGTGTAGAATCCAAAGACACCCAGATAAGGAATCTACCCTCAAAAAGGGCCTAGGTTGGCTGGGAAGAAAACACATGGACAGAATTTGTTCAAAATTCCTCTAGAATTGGACAGTTTCTCCCAACTCCTTTGTGCCACATGCCGGATGGATTGGTGGGTGATATGAATGGAGGGTCTGGTTTAAGAGCCTATCAATGACTATGTGCCCCATCTATGCCTCCAAATCCTTTGTCACCACCTAGACTAGGCCACCATCAACTCGCTCCTGGAGCACTGCAGTGGCCTCCTAACTGGTCTCCCTGTTTCCAATCTTGCCCACCCCCCTGCCCCACATTTCACCCAGAGTGATCTTTTAAAAATGCAAATAACATCATGTCTCTCCCTGCTAAAATCCTGCAGTAACTTCCCATCACAATTGGAATAAAATCCAAAGTCCGTACCATGGCCCACACAGCCCTATATGACCTGTCGCTTGCCTACTTCTCCAATGTCAGCCAGTATACCCTTTTCACTATCCTCCAGCCACCCCGCCTTATTAGTTTTCCTCTGATGTAGAAGGTTTGTTCCTGTCTCAAGACCTTT